TTGTGTGACATTTTCCGATGTCTGATTGGATGGTACAAGACATTTTGCCTTATGGAAAGTGTGATCCTATGAATATTTTTGAGGAAGTTTATAAAAAACACTACAATTTCATAGCTAATTATAATTTGTAGCTATTGTTTCAATATTTACCATTCATAGCAAATCTGCCCTTGCCAGACGTCTATATTCACTGTATTCGTTCGCGCAACAAATACAACATGTGTCAATTGTATTCGTTCGCGCAACTAATATAACATGTATCAACTATAATCGTTTGCGTAACAAATACAACACGCTAAAATACAAAAATATACGGGTGTATACAAGGATACAAACAACAAAAATATATGGGTATATACATGGTTACATAACTACAAAAATACAGTCAAACATATATGGTGCAAAGAAAAATCATCTCGGACCTGGAAAAAAAATACATACATAGTACAAAATCAAGGCGAAATATAGAAATATAAGGATTTGTTAAAATCCCTCAGAACGCAGAAATACAAGTAAATTTGCTATAAAATTTAAATGTTGTTACGAATAGTAATTTTCTGAAAGTTAAGCTACAAATAATAAATATGGTGTATCAGTTAGCTATACCATGTAATTTTTCCAATTTTTTTCTATCCCATAAAAAGGATTCAAGACTTCTTCAACCCTCCCCCCCCCCCCCAGCCCCACCCCCACACTTCTCCTTGTTTGTAGCTACAAAATTGAGAGATTACAAGTTACAACTAATATTTACAATCAAGATGTATTCTCTATTAACTTAATTGCTAGGAAGTTGTACAACACAATATAACACCACAACAATAACTATAACTACGTGTCAATTCCATAATAGTTTGTCGTAAATCGTAGTACAAGAAGATAAAAAGTACTTTGAATGACTCAGTAGGATTTTCAACAATTAATTTCTCCCTCAAATTTTTATGGTTTGATAACTTTAGTCCAAGGTTTGTTGCCTATATTCTCTTGGGAAATAGGATAGTTGCTCAAAGTTATCTTCCTTTGCAATGGGCCTAAAATGCATGTTTTTTGCTCGTTGACACCATACTTGAGCACATTGAAAAGGAGAGACTAACGGGGGAAAAGTTACACATTTCGCTACTCGGCCGAAAATATTTATATATGTGCTAGCTAATATACATATATTATATACTTTGTACACAATATGTACATTTGCCCGTGTTTATTGAGTAGATGGCTAGTTAAGTTAATTTCTCATAATTGGGCTCCAGCTTGGGGAAAATCTAAATGGGCTAGGCTGAATTGGGAGCCCAAAAGGATGGATAGTTTGAAGCCCAATAATGAATGTTCATTAGAAAAATAGGAAGCATCAAGAACATTTAAAGATGTTTTGGTGCAAACTTGTCCAACATTAAACAGTTCTAGAAACAATGTTAGTGCTTTCGATGAGTGAAGTCGTTATTTTAATCCAATATAAGAGAAGATGAAAACAATAATAATGGATTGAAGTACATAAATTTGATCAATAAAACAAAAAACCACGGCCAATAAAATTACCGAACTAAAGATACTCCCACGTCGGGTATTAATCAGGGGCGAAGCTACATTTACTTAGGAGTATATATAGTTAAAATATTAGATTTTAGAGGTAAATAATATATATTGAACATCCTTTGTTGGAAAATTATTTTTACTTCTTCCAAGTTTGAACATCTTTGGAGAAATTCCTGGCTTCGTCACCGATATTAATTAGGAAGTTTTGTGGTTTAAAAATGGGTTAGTGTGAGAAGTGTTCCCAGGGATGAGATGGCTTGCAACACATGTTATGTCAAACCCTATATACCTAAATCCATGCAAGTTTCAAGACTTGCTTGCTATGGTTTGTCCGGTGATGCCCCATGTGTGCGCATATCTCTAAGTTGAATTTCCCCTTTGGCAAGTTGCTAGGGCTTACTTTCCATGCACCCCTTTTTATCGAGAATAGGGGTGTTCATGGTTCGGTTTGGATCGGTTTTTCCCTAAAAAGAAACCAAACCAAGTAAGTCGGTTTTTCAAATATTAGAACCAAACCAAACCAATTAAGTCGGTTTTTTCTCGATTCGGTTTATGTCGGGTTTTGTTGGGTTTTCGGTTATTTGTTAGTTTTTTCTTAAATATAAGACATACACTACCAAACACATACTCCGGCGGTCATATTTTCAACGTAACACTATCAAATCAATTGCCATTTGAAAAATCTATTATTTACCAAGATATATTGATGATAATTGAATCAAATAATGATAAAAAATTTAAGGACTCAATTAAAAATTTATTATTTTTAACACGACATGGATTCTTACGCTTTACAAAAGANTCAAACTAGAATGTAAAGGTAAAGAACTTTACTAAAAGTGGCAAACTATTAACATTTACCATAAAAATTTTGAAACTTTATATAAAAATATACATATATATATATATATATATATAGGTGTAATAATAAATTTAAAATAGCTACTCCTATAGTCGGTTTGGTTCGGTTTTTTTCGTTTTTTTTCTGATTAAAACCAAAACCAAACCAAATTTGATCGCTTTTTAAAATTCAAAACCAAAACCAAACCAAACCAAAAACTATCGGTTTTTTTTGGTCGGTTTGGTTTGGTTTTCTGTTTGGTTCGATTTTTTGGGTTTTTATGAACACCCCTAATTGAGATTTTGACCTAGCTTTTGTATATTAATCTATAATAATAAATATATAATATACATATTTATATTTTTAATATATTTGACTACTGAATATAATTATTTTCGATCAATTAGCTAAATGTATAACTTGCCATATATATATATTAAAATAGGCGATTTCAAATCTCTCCATTCTTGTTTCTCTTGATTCGAGTGTTAGTAATTTGATTGGCCCGTTTTTTGAAGGTTCTATTAACTTAACTTCTCTCACGACCTTCAAGGTAGGTGACAACTCTTTCAACTATCTTTAACCTAGTTGATTATTTGATCTCTATAATCTTGAGAATCTCGACACTCTTCTTAGTGATATTGAAGGTGCGATGCCGAGAAAGGCTGAAAACGTAACAAAACTTAAAAATCTCAATCTTGCATTCAATAACCTCAACTCCACCATCCCAAATTGATTCTATCAATGCAAATATTTGCAATAACTTGGTCTTGGTGGATTACGCTCTACAATTCTGGTAATTACACTCTACAATTCTCAAGGGGGAGCTAAGAATTGCTGGTAATTACATGGTATAATTACCAGATTATTTTTGAATGTCTTTAAAGTTTTTAAATTTCTTTTTTCAAATATTATATTTTACATTATTTATTTTTTATTTCCTTATTTTTCATTTCCCAATCTTTACTTCACGTGTTTCTATATAATTTCTCATATTTTATTTCTTTCTTAATTAATTTTCTTTATTTTTTATTAGATTTAGCTATGTTATTATTCCAATTTTCCTAAAAAGTTATACCCTGTAATCTTAGAAAGAATAAGTCGTCCATAAACATGACTTATAATGAGTGATGCCATTAAAGTTGAACTTTATTATTGGACGAGGTTATATGCAAACTTAACTATGTTAAAATTATATATTACTTTTTAGTATTTAAGTAATATTCTCATTTTTCAACCTTTATTTTTTGTGATTTCATGTAGTTGCTCATACTTGTTCTTCTTCATTTAGCATTATTATGCTATTATTCTAGTTTTGAAACTACTCCTCCGAAATTCTTTCTCTCTCTACCTCACTCGTGCTCCCGGCGCATGTTAGCTAAACATACGCCGGCGTGGAAATGGCAGGGGCGAGGGGTCGGGGACGAGGAAGGGGGCGTGGACGACCTAGGAAAATACCTATTGTAGCTTTTGGGAGCTCAGTTGGAGCTCGAATTCAAGGAGAAGTAACACCAAAAAATACTCCAATGGCGTCTCCGGTGCAGCTAGCTGAAGGAATTAGATCTGTGGAACAAGGATCTAGTTCGATCACTAAGGAGATACCAAAGGAGCTAGAGATAACTGATGCTATGGAGACAACTACAAAGGGAATCATGCAGAAGGAACTAGGGCAAGCTCAGAGCAATGGAACAGTAATTGAGAACCAGACCAATGTAACAGTGAATTTAACGCAAAAGCCAGTGGATCGAGCAGCTGAAGTAGTAAATCCGACGGGAACATGGACGAGTTTGTTCAAAGGCAACAGATCTTCAACTAATGGTATGGCTCTTACTTATATATCTCCACAACACGTTGATGGGAAAATGGTGGTGCAACTGGAAGCGGAAGAAGTAGAACCAGAAGAAGAAAAGTGGAAATGTGCTTTAATTGCATATGTCATTGGGGAAACACCTAGGTATAATGTTATGAACAGGTATATTAGTCAAAATTGGATTAATATAGATACTCCAGAGGTATACTTCCATGAGGAGGGGTACTATGTGATTCGATTTAACTCCATAACTGATATGCATGCTGTGTACTATAATGGACCATATACTATCAGTAATCGACCCAAAATTTTGAAACCATGGACAGCAGACTTTGACTTCAGGCGAGAATTTCCTACTGAGATACCACTGTGGGTGAAATTCCCTAATCTACCTATGAACTGCTGGGGTAGTAAGTCTCTAAGTAGAATTGCTAGTGTATTGGGAACTCCTGTATTTGCTGATGAATGCACCACAAAGCAATCTAGGATATCCTATGATATAATGTTTGTGGAGATAAATGTCAGTCAACCATTACCTGATGAAATTACCGTGATTGATCCAAAAGGGAAATGCTTTCAACAACAAGTGACATATGACTGGAGGCCAGAATTTTGTGGAATTTGTCAAATAGTTGGACACAAATACAGAGAAAAGGAAGTGGATGAAGGCCAAAGGGATATCCAACATAGAAGGAGGAGAACCAAAACTGTCACACAGGAATGGAGATACAAGGGCCCTATACAACACACAGCACCAGTTGAACAACAAATGGAGCAAACAAAGGAAATTACACAACAGATACAGCAGTGAGTGCAGAGATGAGAGCCCGTCCTAGAGATAGAATAGAAGCACAACCAGAGAAGAACAAAGGGAACTCTGTACAGAGTCCTGAGTTCAATCTCAAAAATTTCCCCTACTGTGTTCTGTCCCTACAAAAAATGGTTTTGGAGTGCTACATGGAGGAGATAGTGAAGAACAAGGCACACCTCTTGATAAAGGAGGGGGGACAAAAACAGCATGATGAATTGGCTAATATGGAATGTTAGGGGAATAAATAAGAGGTATAAACAAAAGGAACTGAGAAATTATTTAAAAACAAAAAAAAAATTAGATTAGCTGGACTCATAGAAACTAGAGTCAAAGAACACAATTCAAAGAAGAATGGGGGAAATACTGTTGTAACATGGCAGGCATATGACAATTATCAGGCTGCTACTAATGGGAGAATATGGTTGATTTGGGATTCACAATGGTGTGAAGTGAGCATGGTGAGAGCTGAAGCACAGATTTTGCACCATGAAGTTAAAAGCAGGATAGGAGACATCAATTGTTTTCTTACTATTATTTATGGCTTCAATGCAATAGAACACAGGAGATCACTATGGGGACAACTGAAAGAAGTGGCTGTAGGTATCAACAAACCATGGCTTGTTACTGGAGATTTCAATGCAGTGTTGACACAAGAAGATAGACTGTTTGGTAATCCAATTACTTACACAGAAATCCAAGAGTACTCTGAATGCATACATGACCTGCTACTAACAGGAGTTCAGTGGACTGGGGACTACTACACATGGTCCAACAAGCAGCTGAGTACAGAAAGAATATACAGTAGAATAGACAGGGCTTTTGGCAATCATGAATGGATGATGAATTGGGGACATGTGGTGATGCAGTATGATGATCCCTATATCTCAGATCATGCACCTATGTTACTATCAATGGCAGCTGCTAGATATAACACTAAAGTTTCTTTCAAATTCTTCAATGTATGGGCTGAACACAAAGACTTCATGAAGATAGTTGAAGACATATGGCAGAACACTTTTTCCACAAATAGTATGGAGAATATTTGGAAGAAATTGAAGAACCTGAGATCAGACTTGAGGAGGCTTAACAATGAGGAGTTCAAGTTTATCAGACAAAAAATAGAGAAGGCAAGGCAAGATCTCAAAAACACTCAGGAACTAATGCAATTAAGGGACAATACAGATTTGCTTGCAGGAGAAAGAAAGTTGTTGCAGGAGCTGGAGAAATGGTCATTGATGGAAGAGTGTGCCTTACAACAAAAAGCAAAAGCTACATGGATCAAACTTGGAGACTCAAATAATAAATACTTCTCAGCATTGATCAAAGAAAGGACACAGAGGAAACAAATTACTGAGCTAACATCTCTTGATAATAGGAAGGCTAGAAGATCCAGAGGAAATCAGAGATGAGATAATCAAGTTCTATAAAAACTTGATGGGTTCAGTAGCCCACATTCTACCAGCAGTAAATAAGCAAACAATGAGGAAAGGGCCAGTTCTCACTCAACAACAAAGGACAAGCTTATGTGCAGAAATTACAGAGAAGGAGATTTATGATGGGTTGTCCTCAATAGGAAATGATAAATCCCCTGGGGTTGATGGGTACAATGCCTATTTTTTCAAAAAGGTATGGCCCCTTGTGAAGAAAGAAGTTATTGCTGCTGTCAAAGAATTTTTCAAAACTGGGAAATTGTATAGGGAAATCAATTGTACTGCTATCACACTAGTCCCAAAAACTTCCAAACCAAATACTGTAAAAGAGTATAGACCTATTGCATGTTGTACAGTCCTATACAAAATGATTGCCAAGATCCTTGCCTCCAGAATGCATGCTGTGATGCCAGATATTATAAGTGCAGCTCAAGCTGGCTTTATCCCAGGGAGGAAAATAGCTGACAACATATTCCTTGCCCGTGAGTTAGTTAAAGACTATACAAGGAAGAATTTGTCACCTAGGTGCATGATCAAAATTGACCTACAAAAAGCTTATGATTCTGTTGAATGGCCCTTTGTGAGACAGATGTTATTTGAGCTTGGATTTCCTGATCAATTTGTGTTATGGATAATGGAATGTGTGCAAACGGTGAACTACACTGTGGTGATCAATGGAGAACAAAGTAAACCCTTTAATGCAGCTATGGGGCTGAGATAAGGAGATCCAATATCTCCCTTCTTATTTGCAATAGCCATGGAGTACTTGAGTAGGCTACACAATGAACTGAAGGATGAAAAGAGCTATCAATTCCATCCTAAATGTGCAAAACTAGGTGTAACACACTTAAGTTTTGCAGATGATCTACTGCTATTTGCCAAAGGAAATTTGAGCTCTATTTCTGCACTCAATGAATGTTTCAGAACCTTCTCTACAGCCTCAAGACTACAAGCTAATCTTGGGAAGAGCAGTGTGTACTTTGGTGGAGTCAAGAAGGAAGAACAGGCCAACATCCTGAATCACTTGGGCTTTGTCCATGGCAGTCTACCTTTTAAATACCTGGGAGTGCCTCTAGCTACTAAGAAGATTTCTTTGATATAGTGGCAACCTTTAATAGAGAAAATAATAGCCAGAATCACCTCTTGGACAGCAAAAAAATTATCATATGCAGGGAGAACACAATTAGTGAAGTCAGTTTTGTTTGGAATGCAAGCATATTGGGCCCAGCTATTTCCTATCCTTGCTAAGGTTCTGAAGATTATAGAAGGTTATTGCAGAAGTGGTCAGGCATCAACTCAATCACTAAGAAAGCTTTGATAGCATGGGATAGTGTGTGTCTACCTAAGTCTATGGGTGGAATAGGCCTCATCAACATGAAATTATGGAATAAAGCAGCTCAAATCAAGACATGCTGGGATATTGCTCACAAACAAGACAAGCTATGGATTAGATGGATCCACACTTACTATATTAAAGGGAAGCCACTACCGGAAGCAACAGTTCCAACACAAGCCAGCTGGATTACTAGAAAGCTTTTGGAATTGAGGAATGAACTGCATCTGATCCCTGCAACTTCAAGCTCAAAATGCTGTCTACTACAAATTGCTCCCTGAAATGAGACCAGTAGTCTGGAAATGCCTTATGTTCAAGAATGATGCAAGACCAAAGGCAAGCTTTCTAATGTGGTTGGTATTGCAGGGGAGGTTGGCTACAGCAGATAGGCTAATGCGATGGGGTATAACAATGGACAATACTTGCTCTTTGTGTCAAGCTGAACTGGAAACTAGAGACCACTTGTTTGTAGAATGTGACTATGCTAAGGCTATATGGAGGACAATGCAGAAATGGCTACAATGGCAACAAGCACCAGATGAATGGAATCAGCATGCTACTTGGGCTATCAAAAGGGCTAAAGGGAAATCTAAACAAGCTCAACTATTCAAACTGGTATATGCGGAATGTGTCTATGCTATATGGATTGAAAGGAACAATAGAGTATTTGAAAAGAAGGCTAGAAGTTGGGAAGCAATTGCTCGAGAAATTGTCTATACTTGTCATGTGCGAGCTGGCAGTAAAGTTCAAGAACTACTGGAAAATTTTTCATTTTACGTGTTAAGGAAATTAGTTTAGATGAGATCTTCATGTATATAGTAATAGTGAGGAGTATAGATTGAGATATTTTCTTTTGAGATAACTAACTGTGCTGTGGTTAGTTATAGTTTTGTAAAGTTTCAAAGGTGATTAATACAAAAGTTAGTTACCAAAAAGAAACTACTCCTCCTAATATTAGAAATAATGAATCATTAATAAACTTAGCATATAATGAGTGATGTCATTAAAATAGGATCTCATTGTTGAATAAGGTTATAGACTTATATTTTCCTTTTCTTTTGAATTATATTTACTTAAATTATGTTGAAACTTATTTTATATTATGTTGTAATTTTACATAAGAGTATCACGTTAAGAAAAAAAAATTGGATTTTGGATTTTATGTTATATTTTCGTTTTTATTTTCATTTTATTTGCTTTAGTAGTATTCACTTATTAATCTAGATCGCATGCCATTCATTTTTCAGTTAAAGTTGATAGATTATTTTTTCGTAAAATATTTGAGTAATGTTATGACATTATATTTATAAATATTAATTATTTTATCAAGCATGCAGTCCATGATGTTCTTACATTAAAGTAAAATATTATTAATTTAAGGTATATCAATTATTTTTACAATATTAGTTACAAATATATGATAAGTAACTAATATATTTTCAAGAAGCAATATCTTTTTTAAATGTCAAATTTAATATTATTTATAAATGCATATACTTGTTAAATCTTAACTTTTTATTTTTGATAATTAATTTTATATTTAAAATTTTAATCTACCTGTGTAATTACACTTGTGCACCAAACAGTACACTTGTAATTACACTATGACAAACAAACAGGTCATTGTAATTACAATACAACGTAATTACTAGGCTGTGTAATTACTATATTGTTAAAATATTAAATTTTAGAGGTAAATAATATATATTGAACATCATTTAAAGGAAAATTATTTTTACTTCTTCCAAGTTTGGACATCTTTAGAGAAATTCCTGGCTTCGTCACCGATATTAATTTGAAAGTTTTGTGGTTTAAAAATGGATTAGTGTGAGAAGTGTTCCCAATGATGAGATGGCTTGCAACACATGTTGTGTCAAACCCTATATACCTAAATCCATGCAAGTTTCAAGAATTACTTGCTATGGCTGTTGGTTTGTCCGGCGATGCCCCATGTGTGCGCACGTCTCTAAGTTGAATTTCCCCTTTGGCAAGTTTCTAGGGCTTACTTTCCAAGCACCCCGTTTGTATTGAGATTTTTACCTAGCTTTTGTATATTAATCAATAATAATAACTATATAATATACATATTTATATTTTTTTATATATTTGACTAGTGAATATAATTATTTCGATCAATTAGCTAAATGTATAACTTGCCATGGATATCAAAATAGGCGATTTCAAATCTCTCCAGTCTTGTTTCTCTTGATTTGAGTGTTAGTAATTTGATAGGCTCGTTTTTCGAAGGTTCTATTAACTTAACTTCTCTCACGACCTTCAAGGTAGGTGACAACTCTTTCATCTGTCTTTTACATAGATGATTATTTGATCTCTATAATCTTGAAAATCTTGACACTCTTCTTAGTGGTATTGAAGGTGCGTTGCCGAGTAAGGCTGAAGACGTAACAAAACTTAAAAATCTCGATCTTGCATTCAACAACTTCAACTCCACCATTCCAAATTGATTCTACCAATGCAAATATTTGGAATAACTTAGTCTTGGTGGAAACAATATTGACAGAGTAGTTCCAAATGCGATTTCAAATTTGAGCTCAAATAACTAGTATTGTCCTCTTTACAAATATGCATTCTGGAAAATTACCAAATGTATTTGGAAAGTCATCGAAATTAGATTCGCTTGATCATCTCAGAAATTCTATTTGAGGGAGAATTACTTAAACTATTTTACGATAGGAGTGATTTCTTTCCAGCAGGATTGAGAAATAGTTCTTCTTTGATGGATTTGAGACTAGGAAATAATAAACAGACCGGAACTCTCCATAAAATCTTGGCCATCCCAATGCTAGAACTTCGATATCTATAACGATAGGTCGAAAGGTGTTGTAACAAGAATTCACTTCACCAACTGGACACAATTAAGGCATTTTTATGCATGTGATAACAATTTCACTTTAAAACCGAGTCAGAACTGATCTATAATAATAGTAATAGTAATATATATATTTATATATTATATATATATATATATATTATACATATATTTTTTTTAATATTTGGCTAATAAATATAATTATTTTTGGACAATCAGCTATAACTTGCCCAAAACAAATAGTGTACTCGTAATAAAGTAATAAATGGGCTTAATATAGATGGATCAAGTCTTCTTGCCCGTATGAAAAGCCCACAATTTTCCTCCCAAAAACCCTACCTTCCCTAACCCCTCGTATATAAATAGGACCACGAAGCTGCAACTCTGAATAGATTCACTATGAATTCTTCTCCTCTGTCGCCTAGGGTTTCTCCGCCTTCAGTCTCCGCCGCCTCCAACCAACGACACACTCTACAGGAATGGTGATACTCTTTTATATCTGTGTTTTTTACTTGTTGTAGTTACGATTTTAGAAAGCTTCTTTATCTGGTTGGCAATAAATTATCCATTTTTGACCAACTCGTTCCCTAGAAGCTATAGTGTGTGTTGCTCCTTTTCATATTTCTCCTTCATTAACCCCTTTTTTTCTCGTTTGTGTTTGGAGTATACTGGGGCAGCTACATTTTTTTTAACAAAATTTGTTGATTGGGGTGAACAACGGTGATGAGCCATTATACAGACACAGACCTGTAATGATTTGCGAAAATGATCGCAATTTATGAACATCTAAGGGACTGAGTTTGTTCACCGCGTTCTAATTTTATTTCTTGATTATACTGCCGTTTAAGATTAGATATATTTAAAATTATTTATGAATGAGAATTTGTGGATTAACGATGATGAGCTATTTATACAGACACAGACCTGTAATGATTTGCGGAAATGATCGCAATTTATGAACATCTAAGGGACTGAGTTTTTCCACTCAATTCCAATTTTTTTTCCAAAGTTTGCTTTATTTCCTCAATTTAATTCAAAAATTGTGCCTATTATTTATACTATGCTTTGCTTATCTAATTTTTTATTGGGTCACACATTGTTGTGTGGTTCTTTTACAAGTGAAGCTAAAAAGAATGTTCCTCTCGCTATCCTTTGCTCCATTTGTGGTGTATTTGGACGTTGGGGTACTACATTTTTTATGTTTATTAATCTGTTTTGTGCCTATTATCTTACTGCACATTGAATTGATATTAGTTGTATATTTTGGCTCTTATGCTTCGCTATCTGGTTGGCAAAATTCAATTGTTTTTGATCAACTCGTTCCCTTGAAGCAAAAGTGATCGTGATGCTCTGTAATATTATCTCTGTCCAGTCTATTTGTGGTTGGAGAATACCAGGGCATCTACATGTTTTTATGTAATAATTTTATTTGTAGAATAAGTTCTTTATTACGTAGATGTAATGATTTGTGAATTTTACTGCATTTCTTTGTGATCTTTGACTTTGCAGGTAGATAAGTTGAGTAATTTTGCTGTTTGGAAGAAAGAGATACAAATGGATGGTGAAAAAGAAATGTGTAGTTTAGTGTGGAATGCAATAAGATTTTCTAACTGTAACTATTACTCCACAATTAAATGCCTAATTGTTTGATTTTAGAAACGTGTTTTGAAAGTTTGTGATGAGTATATTCTTACTATGCTTTGCTTAAATATTATTTTGGGTTACGCCATCCCTATTTCTTTGTAATAAATGCTTGTTTATAAATATTTTTGTACTATGTCAGTATTCCTCTTTTCTATATAGAGGAGGTCCTTGCGCTTTTGCAGTTTCTCTCGGTCATTGCTTCTGTTGCTCAACATTCTTTATAACTGAGAGAAACTATAAAGTGGCAAGGACCTCCTTTATATAGAAAGGTTTATATAGAAAGGGTGAATCCCAACATAGTACAAACGTATTTATTAAAAGAAATGAGGATGGGACTGCTAGTTGATGTCATGATGCGGGCTCATACTAGCCTCAGACTAGCCTGACAGACTTTATCAGCTCTGGTTGCATCCCTTGGGAACTCCCCTCTTTTCCAGTATAACTGTTGTTCTGCGTTGCGCCGAGGTTGAGCATCGACAGCCCTCAAGGGTGAACCTCGACTCTAGTCTCGAGCCTTACGAAGTATGTTTACTGGTCATCATAATGATAGGAAATTGGGCCCTCCGATTTCGCCGTGCACACTATTAATACTCCCACATCAGGTATTAATCCTGGGCGAAGTTACATTTACATAAGGGCGTCAATTCGTCACCATTCGTAAAAAAAATACATTGTATATATGGTTAAAGTATTAGTTTTAGTGGTAAAAATTATATATATTGAACACCCTTTATTGGAAAATTGTTTTTACTTCTTTCAAGTTTGAACACTTTTGGAGACAATCTTGGCTTTACAACTAATATTAATTAAGAAGTTTTGTAATTTAAAAATGGTTGGTTTAGTGTGAGAAGTGGTCACCGAGAGTTGTAGGGATGAGATGGCTTGCAACACATGGTGTGTCAAACCCTATATGCCTAAATCCATGCAAGTTTTTTGACGGTTGGTTTGTCCGGCGAATGCCCCTTGTGTGCGCACATTTCTAAGTTGAATATCCCCTTGGCGAGTTTAAGCTTAAAGGCTTACTTGCCAAGCACCTTTTTTTTTATTGAGATTTTTCCCCCTAATTTTTGTATATTAATTTGATGAATTTTCATAAAACATTATAGTTTCGAGCCTCATTATCAAATGTAATTATAATTTGTTTAATTTATCATTCATAGCTACTGTTCAATTGTTACCGGTTTGTATCACTTCTATTTAATTTGTTATAGATAGTTATATCAACACATACAATACATTAAAATATAGTGAAATGTAATAAAAAAATATGATTTAAGACCAATACGAGAATGTGTTTTGTGACTATTACCTCACTTAATATTGAGCTGATTGTAGGTTTTATATTAATTAGTATCTATGAACGTGCGTTGCACGTTAATAATGACACGTGCAAATTTAAACATTTATTTATATGAAGGAACAATAAAATTTAATTAAAGAGACAAATTTTATGTATAATAATACAACAATCATCTAAATGTCGAAAAATATTATTATACATAATACATGAATTTAAAGGACATCATCAAAACTTAAACAAATGATCAATTTTGTCATGTTAGTTAGATAATTATATACTATTATAGTTTAAAAGTACTTAATGTGCTAGTATATTAACTGTGAGCACATGATTTTTGCCTTGCGTGAATTACTCCTACAAGATTCTTAAAATTAGGATTTTTCTTTTAATTATTTAATTTTAGCAATTAATTGCATAATTTTCGTGTTTGTTTGCATTTTCGTGTGCATTTTTTAATATATATAATTCATAAAAAATACAAAAAATATATGTTGCATTTGTATTTAGGTTTTAATTTTACATATTTTAGATTAATTAGTAATTAGGGTTTTAACAAAAATAGAAAAATCACAAAAAATTGATTTATTTTTTTGCATTGCTTTTGGCTTTGAATTTTGTTAGTTTTCCTTAATTTGGTATTTAATTAATTGTGTTGATTATTAATTTGTGCTTACTATAATTTGGTAGGTTAATTTAGTTTTTAAGAGTTAATTTAGGTTTTTATTTTAATTTGAAAAGAAAAAGAAAAGAAATTAAAAGAATTTAGTCTTCTTTATTAAAGATCCAACTTGGGCCAAATCCACCCCAAGCCCAAACCCTTTGCGCCTGAAACCCGTCCAAAATACCCCAAATGCCCGGCCCAATCACTCAAAGACCCGGTCCGTCTTCCATTAAGACCTAAAGGACCCTGTTTTTGCTGCAAGCCATCTGGACCGTCGAGGTTCTCCTCATCCAACAGTTGGGAAGTGAGGTCTTCAGAGTATTTAACTGTCCAAATAACCCCCTACCCCATCCGATCATCTCCTTCACAACCTCTCTTCAGAACCCTAACGACGCTGCCCCCAAATTCTCAACCCCACCGGTGGCGGCGCCACCATAAACTAACCTCAAACCAACACCAAATACCTCCCTCAACTCCCTCTTGCCAAATCCTTAATCATCTTCCTTCGAATCCCTATGAAACCCTTCAAATCTCAAATCAAAGGGTGGAACCCTAGCGCCGCCCTAGCATCCTCTAGTGGTGGCGCCACCCCAAACCCCACCAAAATCACACCCCTGAACCCCCACTACCTCCTCTCCGCCAATTTCTACTCCCTTTCTCTCGAATCCTCCTCCAACGGCTCGAATATTGAATCAAAGAACTGAGCTCCATTTCCAAATTCAAAGTCAGTGGACCTTTTGAGGTTTCTAGGCTATAATGGCCTTTGCCTGTGTGTTTACACATGAAAACATGCGGTTAAAGGCCGTTCTTGCCAAGAAGTCGAAGAGGTTTCTTCAAGTTTGTTTGAGCCGCTTTGAGCCACTATAGGTATTTTCCTTTTTCTGTTTCTTTAAATTTTTCTTTACCTTCCTTTCATTCTTGTTCCTTTCCCTTTCATCTGTTTCTCCTTTTTGGACCCTTTCATGATCCCCAGTTTCAGAACTCTTCTTTACCCTGCATGATTAGTTTTCCTTTCTTTAGTTAGGGTTAATAATCTTTTAGTAATTTAATTTCAGTTTATTAGGTGTTAGTCGCATTAATTGAATTTCCAGAGTTGCTTGAATTGTTTTTGTTTTCTTTATTTTGATTTTCGTTTGTTAATTTAATGTTGTTTGGGATTGAGTCTCTTACTTTGAAGTTTCAGGATTGGGCTAGACTCCTAAACGGGTCAGCCCAGGTTCAACTTGGCCTACATTTTGGTCTAAGGTTTAGGGGGTAAAAAAACAAGGCACTTAGGGGTAAATTGGGTAAGTTACTGAGAGAATCTCTCAAGTAACCACCCAAGAAACTTCCTAGAAGCTGCATAGTACACTTACTTGATCAACAAGTTAGAAAATTAGGGACTAAATAGCAAAAAGGAAAAGCTGAAAAGGACTAAAAATGAAATAACTAAGCCCTTAAGGCTGCCCTAGTAACTTGCCTATAAAGGCATAGTTGCTTGCAGCTGAATGGAGATTTTTGAAAGAGCTAAAAAATCCAGTAAAAAGAGAGACGGCTCAGAATAAAAGAAAGGCTACTGTTTCATTAAATTTTCAGTAATTTTTGATCCCTTTTCAACTTCTGAAACTATTTGAATTCATCTGAGTGAAGAAATGGCTTGAACCTGGTTGTCGAAGTTTTGATTTAAAGCTTTCTTAGGCTGTTTGTTTGGTTTGAATCTGATATCCTGAGCTGCTATCTGTCATTCTGGGTTTGGAGCTGTTTTATTGGTTGTTTTGGTGCTAATTTCTACTGCTGTACCTGCTGATCCTGTTCTGCTTTGCTGAGCCCTTCCTTTTCTTCCTATTTTGCTTTCCCAGGTACCTATTTAGCTCATGATTGAGGCCTGATTGTTAAGCATGTAAAAGATTGAAAGTTTTGTTAAATGAAGACTCCACTTGAAGCTGATTTCCCCTTTTTCTTTACTGTTTATATGTTCCATAATCAGACTTCAAGTTATAGATGTTAGTTAGGGTCTTTTCCTTTGAATTTGGGTGTGTGTAAGTGACTTGATGTGGTATTTTGCATCTGTATTGATATGTTAAACAATGGACTCTATTTATTCATCTTCATGTTTGATGTCGTGTGTCATTGTTATTTGGATTCGAATCTATTTAAGTGTAATAACTCAGACTGTTTGGACTGTTAAGTGGACTATCTGATTAGGAAATAGTTTAGCAAATCTGTTCTTTCATGGTATAAAATGTAGTGTTTGGTGATTATGTGTTACTGTGCTTTGTAAAAAATCATTGATGGTTGAAAGGTCATTCCTTAATTTTACAGTCACTTGATTAAAATGGCTTTGGCATAGTGGTAGGCATGTTTATGGTAATTTTAATGTTAGATTGTCCACTTAAAAATCCTTAAAGTTGGTTTCTGCTGTTGTATGCATGAAAAATGGTATGTAATTGAAGTTTGAGGTCCATGCAAATGCTCATTAAATCCTCATGTTAGCTTGAATTATTTTCTTTTCCCTTGGGCTGTCTGCATGTTTGGCGATGGGTCAACCCATTTGCCCAATGGTTTCTCTACTCACATAAAATAATTAATCAGACTATTAGATAAATGGGAGGTGAGCTATACTAGATAAAACATAGTCTATGGCCCTCCGAGCTTTTAGTTTGAATATCCTCTTAAAAATGGAATCGAGGTGCGCCGCGCCAAATAAAACCTCAAATGCGTGGCCCTCATTTAATTATTTCTTTTAAAATACTTAGATTTCGAGGCGTGCTATTTAGCAAATTTCCATGGCCCTTGCAAAGTTAAAAATGCGTAGTTGCTTTAGGCGCGTATGTTAATAATATTACCTTCCTAATATTTGTACACATTATGTGCACTTATGACTAGGACAACAAATAAAAAATTAGACACTTGTAACTAGTATAGTTGTAGCTTGTATTTTTTATTTATTGAATACTTGTATAAATAGATACATTATACAGAATATTTAAGGGTGAATAAGAGAAGGATTTTTTCTAAACTCCTAGATGGTATCAGAGCAATAGCTATTTGAAACCCAACTACACTTATTTTCAGTCTTCTCTTCCTCTTTGAAATGGCACCAAATTCCACAGATGATTCTTCAAATGTTTCTGCAGCTCGCACA